GCCACTCCCACTCCCCAGAATTTCGGTGCTGGGGCGGTGCGCCTCGTGCACGCAGATCACGTTGGAGCTGGTACCAGTGACCTCCCGGATCGTCTGCGAGAGCCGCTCCTGGAAGGATCAGCTGCGAAAAGCCTCTACCAGGGGCCCCACAAACCATCAAAAACCTAGGTTTTCCCTAGCAAAAAACATTGTTTTTGTATGTAAAAAAATGTGTTTTTCATGGTTCTAAGGGCCCCTGGTAAGGGGCTATTATCGGACCTCCGTTGCGTCGTGCGCGAAAAGGGAATCTGAGACGATCTGGTGCACTTGGAGGTCGGTCAAATCCATCTGTTCGTCCCCCTGGCGACCTGGATGAAAACGATTCTACAGCGGTTTTGGAAGAAGCTTCAAGTGGAAACGAAGGGTCGCAGGAGCACAAAGCACACACGAAGGGTCGCGTCAAGGAATGTCAAGGACGCGTTTGAACAGATCGTAGTAAAAGACACGTTTTTCGCGGGACAAATGTTTTACCTGATGCACGAGGCACGAGATGGCGCCGATTGCAGCTACAACATGCTACAACTGATCTACAGTCAAAGAAGAAGAGGTACCAGGACCCTCGAACAGGCTGTTTAGAGACCCTAACTGGGCACCTGTTGTCACCAGGAAGCACCTGTGAAGTCGGGTGCTGGTAGAAGACACAAAATGAAGTGCCACTACTTTGAGGCCACACCAAGAGAGGTGGGCAAGGTCTCAGTACTGACCGATGGGTGTGTGACATAGGTCGAAGGTCTCCAACCAGTGGCAGACTGGTTGTCTGAAGCTGCCAGGGGTTCTGAGTCTATGGGTCTCCTTATCTTAATGTACACCCAGGTAGAGGTCTGAGTTGTTTATGAGTCATCACAGAAAAAACGACATGAAGGGCTGATCACGTCTTCATCACTTTTGAGATGCAAAAGGAGACCCACGTATCGTGGTATAGGAAGTGTCTGTCGGCTCGGTTTAGGTTGAGTCCATCGCCAGGGACCAGTGGACGATGCTTTGGTTGTAGACCTTTCCATCTCTAGTGATCAGATGTGATAAGATCTCGATGTGATAAGACCTTTTGCCCCTCCAGACCGTTTGACTGGGACAGACCCTTAGTTCGGCCCAGGGTTCGGCCGTAGAAGCAGACTGGAAATGACTGGAACACGTTGCTGCTGAAGAGTTCGGACGTTGGCGTTCGAACGGGACGTTGCCTTCAAAAAGAGAAAGGATCTGCATGAGGATTCCCACACACTCGTCAGCTGCTCAACAGCGATTTGTCCAAGGACTCGTCAGTACGGTACACTCCCTGGAATAACGTAACAAGAAGCTACGAACGTAGCTCCTCTATAGTAACAAAGGACGCTACTAGGAACCAAGGGCATTGCTAACGTCACAAAGGGATGGAAGCGAGAGAGCACCTGTTGGTGGAGGAACATGGTCCAAGCGGGTCCAAGAGGCCATCCAATTTGCATGAGACTTCCATGGGGGTGTCTCGTCAACTTCACCGAACCATGCAACCGATCAGTCGTCTGGGAGGATGCGCTCGAACATCACGCACACTGCGCGAGGAAGGATGCCGAAAGGTTTTCGGACGAGGACTTAGACGTCAAACCACGGCCACAAATCCGAAGGCATTGGGTCACGAAGGCATCCCGGAATCTGTCGGCGCCCACTGATGCATCTGTGAATCTGTCCAAGCCCCACTTGGCACCTCTGAGAACAAAAAGAAACTCAGCTCTTGGCACCTTGTGATCTGACTCACTCCCTCACCCTGGTGGGACCAAAACACGAACTTGCGCTGGTCCTGCATGGCACTCATCGATCGCGGTGACTTTCATCGATCGGGTGACTCCCTCATCCCCACCAGGGTTGTTCCGGCGACAGCTTGAGAGCCTTTGTAATTAGAATGGTTCTGCCCTAAGAATCCGGGCCCTGAAACAAATAGGGTTTGGTTCGGCCCCGGACCCCTGCGAAGGTGTCGGGTCCGACCCTTGCCATGGACAGCCAAGGATTCTTAGGCCCTTCGCCCGCGGAACCCCGCGCGCCCGTGCCCGTGCGAAGAACCTGCCAGTAGTTCTCGGCCGACAAGTCGGAGCAGCAAATGATCACAAAGTCAAAACCTCTCGGCCCGGTGCTCTGCTCGGGCGTTTGCGGCCATCGCTAGGGTGAAGCAAAATACGGGCACTGCCACGTTTCGGGAGCAAGAAGCTGCTTCACGTAGCTCCTGGCATTATACTACCATAAGAATCCGAGCTCGGGCTGTCCATGGCAAGGGTCGGGGCCGAACCAAACCCTATAGTAATAAGAAGCTTCTAGGTTGGAGGCCATCGCGGAGCCCGGTTTCACCCACTGAGGTTCGCTCTTCGGGGTTCAGACCGAAGAGATCCGAAGACGGAAGGAAAGTGACCGAGGGTGTATCATAGAGCCCCTATAGACGTTCGACCATTCAAAGAAAGGTTGACCTGGTGTTTGTAGTGTAAAATCCTTAGTTGATTCGGTGAAGGCTATTAAACTATCTATATTAAATTCATGGATGTTGGAAGCCTAGGAGAGTATAGATGCCCTCATTATAGACTGTTGGGAAAAGGGTGACTTGCAATCCTGAAGTCTAAGAGTCAAAGGTTCCTGAGCTGAAACAATGTTATTGGTTTTGAAGATCCTGTAGGGTACAGATGGGTACAGTACCTATTCCTGATCAGCCTGTCAGAAGTGCTCACACCCAAAGAAATGGCAAATCCAGCCTGAACATAGTGCAGGAGTGCGGGTCCCCAGTAATTACTTTGTTGGGCACCTCTATAGTCTATATATATATAGTCTAATTATACATGTCTATATACCATCTCCTGAAAAACAATACCACCCAGTTCTCAGTGTCCAACAAGGCTCTGAGTGGATGTTTCTGGGATCTCATCCATCACCACAAACGGCTCCATTTTGGCCACCCGCCTCCCGGCGCTTGCATTTTGGCGATCTCATCCAGCATGGCTTCCTGCCAGCCGGAGATGGACGCGTACCACGGAGAACCGAGCGAGCGAGAACCGGCCGTCGCGGCAGTCGCGACCGGACCCGAGCGGTCGACATGACGTCGATGAACCGGGTCGTGTGTGCTTCGACTCGGTCTGAAGGACAGGTGTCGACTGAAGGGATCCATGTGTTTTCAGAGACCAAAAAGGCCAGTGCTGCCAGTGACACGAATTGCTGGAGCTGAGAATGGCTGGTGACGCATTCACATACCCAAACAGCCGAGGTGGTTGGGTGTTCTTCAGGCGTTTGGCTAGTATATATATATGTATAAATACGTACCCTAGACCTCCAAGACCATTCAAAGAAAGGTTGACCTGGTTGCGTAGTGTAAAATCCTTAATAAAACAATTGTGGTTCGGTAAAGGCCTTTAAAACAATGGTTGTTGGAAGCCTAATTAGGGAATACAACAATATATACAAATATAAGGTTGCAAGTCCTTTCTTTGCGCCAGTGCAAGGATAAAAGTACCAGTACCAGTATCATGACTTACTATAGACTAGATTCCGTTACAGTAGCATGAACATGGGTATACATGAACACAACAAGAACCGTCACTGTAATTCTCAAGCCATCATGCATCACAGTCATCTTGGCGGATTTGAGAAATGTGGCGCCAAACAGATACTTTTCTTGCTATGCTTCCTCTGACGAAGTCTCCGCGCGTGAACCGCGCATGAAGCTGAAGAATCATGGCGTTTCCACGTGGGACTGTCGTCAACTCTCAAGAGAGCCACCGGAGGAATTGAGCGGTCGCTGCTCTGCTAGTCGCGGTGCCAGATTCACACACTCTGTGTGGGGAGACCACGTCAAGTCTGTTTGTATTCCGTTAACTTAAAGTTTACGCTCAAGGGCGGGAATCCGCCCGAGCAAAAGAAAGAGAGAGAGAAAGAGAGAGAGCCGGCCCTTCGGTCCACATGGCTCTCAATCTTCATGAGGTGGCCCCCCATCCGAAAGATGATCCTGTTCTAGATTGATGGGCTTTCATGATGATGATGATGACGATGATGATGATGGGCTTTGCATGCCTTTTGCCAACAAGTCACTGAAATGCATATATGTGTTGAACCCTCCTCCAAGCACAAGAGGCACAAGCGTTGGGAGCCACTACATGCTGTCCCGAACCTTGTCCAGGATCAGCGGCCTATACAAAAGCGGATTGAGTTTTCTCTTTCTCCGCCGGTGCTGCCGCGTCAGGACTCTCTGTAGGCTCGTTGGCCGCCTCTGTGACCTTCTCGTTCTCGGAGCTGAAGCTGTTTTGGCTCCTGGGGATGAATGACTGGGATCCAAAAGCCATGACTGCGCATGCTGGCCAGACGGAGATATAAGATGATATAAGGGCAGAACCCCTGCCTTGTGTGGTATCACCCATATCACCCATGATCTCCGGCCAAACACCCTCGGACTCCAGCGTCCTCTTTGGGCATTTTTGTCCACCGCAGCTGGTGCGACAGGGAGCAAAGGCCTAAACATCGCTCCGACCATGGGGACAACGAGGAGGAGAGCTGATGTCTCAAACAGCTTCATCTCCGTCACGGTCAGTTTTCTGCAGAGAAACCCCAAACCAAGCCAATCTGAGATATCACAGACCCCCAAATAGATCGAAAAGTACCTCCCCACTACTATAAATGTATTGGAAAGCGTTTCTTTTGGGGGACCACAATATAGTAGATCTTTAAACTATGGGCTTCTATGTTCAGTGTCACACGAAGAGCTGGAAGCTCTCGCTAAAAGGTCACCGTCCGATGGGACATCCACCGGTGTTTCACCAAAAGCTGGTTCACCTCCCCAGCCTTCAAAAGAAACACTGGTTCATCGTCCGTCCCTCCTGGTGGTGCGTTGTCCAGTGGCAATACGCCGGCTAGAGGAACTCTTGCGCGTGCCATCCCCAACGGCCATGTTCAAGTCATCAGCCAGGATGTTGATGGCTCGCATCACGGTGCCAAGGTCGTAGACTGAGAGCTTGCCGAGGTCAGAGATAAAGGTTTTTTTCTTTGCCCTGTCCATCCTGATTGTTGAGAAAGCGTTTTCTGCAAACACAGAAGGACAAAGGCCAGGCAAAAGCGGGCCTATTGATGCAATGGAATCAGCTGAAGAGTGGAATGAGACAAAAGATCCAATTATTCATGAAAGGGCCCAGTCTCTTCCTTGAGGAAGGTGGCCACGTCCAAAAGGCTCTGAAAGACATCTTTCTCCTACCAGGTCCGGACACTTGGAATGCTTTCAGACCGGCCAGGACACTGAATCATTGAAGGCAGCTTGGGACTTGCTTGGGGAACTAAAGTGATTCACTCCCTCGGAAAAAAACAGAGTAAATACACTGAATCACTGAAACATGGAAGTGCATGGCATGGCCATGTTAAGAATGACGGTGGTGCCATCAGTTCCAGGGAGAATAGGGGAAAAGGATGGTGCCTCTGGGACCTTCCCAAGGTTCATGATGCGCAGTTCTTTGGAGCTTCCCAAGGCTGAGCGATAGAAGAGGGCACAAAGGCCAAGCATCACCATTCCTCCCAAGATCACCACCATCCTGGGCTGCGGGTTCCCCCGGTCCAGCATGCTAAGGGTGAAAACAAAAACAAATAAAAAAACAAATAAAAAAACAAACAAAAACAAACAAAGTAGTCAGAAATCCCTAAACCCTAAGGGTCTAAGTACGCCAGACTGTACGCCAGTACATTCAAGCATCATGGACGAGATCACGGTTCCGAACAGGGCCAGAACACGTGCAGCCTCTTCCCCGCTGTTGTCGGCATATCCAAGCGACCCTGCCAACAGCATGACGAGAAGGGAGACGCTGAGCCCATCCACCAAGTTGAGGATCGGAGATTTCCAAGGAAGGAACCAAAGCTGAAGGCACAGAGATCCAAGCAAAATCATGTGCATCAAGGTGAGTTGCAAGCTGGGCATGTTGGTTGCAATCACCCCTGGCATCGACAGCAAAGGTCCTCGCGCCAGCAAAACCAAGCCAAAATACCACACGTTGGGCCTGAAGCGGAAGATCAAGAAGCGAATCGCTGCTAGCCTGGCCAGTCTTTCAACTGAGAAACAAACACCCAAACACTCCATGTATGGCATATTGACCTACATTGGGGGTGGTTTCAGGGGTCTATAGGCATGTATTCCGTACATGGATGGTACGGCACATACACAACAACCTTGATCGTTGAGTGAGGCTTTCCAATGTCAGTGTTTACGATTTTGCGGTGTCTCGTGACTCCAATCTTCAGTGCATCCAATCTACTCCCCGAGGCACTCGCCTTCTCAGAGGGTAGGACTCTCTAAACCCAGCTAAATGTCCCCAATTCATTACCTTCTGAGAGGGTATGTGGAAGGGGCCTTATGACGCCCCATGGCTACAGCAAACCAAACCACCTCTGCCTTCATGGCAGCTTCGTATTGCTCCCCAGCCTGGGTTTACCAGACCAGCGTGGCGCTTGATAGGCGGCGTAGCAGGCAGCTATGAAGAAGCTGAAGGCCAAGAACATCACCAGCACCCCAAACACGCGCATGATTGTCTGAGAACAGGACAGAGTCAAGGAAGGGGGTACACAAATAAACGTCTCCAAAAACAAGGTCATGAAACCAGTGTTTTTCCTTTTCGTTTCGCTTCATAAAACAGAACTAAAGTGTTCAAAATTTTAAGGACAAATCGGTCGAAAATCGGTCGAACAATAGATCCAATAGGGCGGGGTCCGTGCCGATTCCCCTTGACGCCCCGTCCGACCAAAAACCATGTGTGTTCTGCCTATATTCTTTCCGGTGGGACTGGGGGAGGTGTTTTTCAGCGGCTAAAAGGGGTTTTCCATTAGTTTCCCTGAGGAACCTAAGGAATTGCTATAAATCGGATGTCAACTTTAAAACAGTTTAAACGTGGAAAGAATCAGGTGCGTCCAGAACGACTGCAATGTCATGCACACATTGCCAATACGTATACAAGCCCTACGCAGTTTCTGCTTGCAATGTGGCTCAAGCCCTTATCACAACAATAAAACATTGCCACCAATGGACACGTGCAATTCTGAAACAGGTCGCGGGCCAAAAGGGAAATCTTGCTTCTTGGACCAAAGAGCGTGCTCCTCTGTGCGACAGAAGACATTGGGGTACTTCAAGATGCTCTCTTGATTGGTCGGGTGTCGGTAGCACATGAAAGGCATCAGGCCGACGTTGCACATGGTCGTGAAGCCCACCTGGAGAGTTGTTGCGCAAGAAAACCTACCAGAAATGGCCCTTTGTCGCCCCACCCACCCAATCGGGATATAGTAAGATGAAACCTCAATGAAAAATGCCTAAGAAATGCAGTAAGGTCAGTAAAGTACTGTATGCAACGAGCTGCAAGCGCCTTCAATTACACAGTTGAAGCCAAAACACAAAGTCCCAGTCCCAAGGTCCGTGGTCTGCAACTCTCAAGGTGAAAAACTCGAAGCGCAACGAAACTCACAGTGCGTGTCTGCTGAGGTGAGGAAGTGATGCAAATGGCAAAGTCTTGTTTTAGCAGTCTAGCATGTTCTAGCTACAACCAGGGCCCAGTGGGAAGTGAGAGGTAAAACGCAAGTACGCAGTGGAACGTCCTCTACTGTATCAGCACCAACTGATACCCTCTTCTTTGGACGGGCAGTATTAGCGGCGTCCCATCCCACTGTTTGTAAAAATCAAAAGCCGAAAGGCTCCCTCTGACTCCAAGGACTCCAAGGGTGACACACACACACACACATAGAGGTTTTGGTCGAAGAATCTTATGCTTTATACTTCAGGAGGAAGAACATTTGATAACAATTTCACTCGAGAATGTCATGGACATCACTTATCTTTCCCGATGGAATTTCGACGGATTAGTTTCCAACACAAACTAAAATAAAATAACCATAAATCTACTTCGGGGTGGACACTAATCCGCCGGCATTCCACTGTGATCCCTACAACTGTGATCCGCTGTAGGATTCTAAGGGGAAAGGGTATTATGTACTCACAAACTTGTTCGAACCTTTGTCCTGGCTGTGTATGACCCTCAGCCTTCCAGTGGCACAACTTCCCAAAGCTAACATCCTGGTGAGGACACCCGCAACTCGGCCATCCATGTTGGACACCAGGACCAAAGTGATTGTTTTTCGTGTTTGACCCTAAGAGTACAACAAATCATCAAAATCCATACAATATTTTGTATTGTATATTACAATAATATGAGCTATTTCATTATATTTCTACATGTCGATGAATCAACGATACAACAGTGAAGTAAAGCTTCTTCATGGAATATATTCATTATATATATCAGGACCCTCCAACAGGCTCTTTGGAGACCCTAACAGGTGGTTTCTGGGCACCTGTTGTCACCAGGAAGCACCTGTTGGAGGGTGCTGGTATATATATATATATGTTAGACACACGATCGTATCCCCCGAAACCCAACAAATCGTGGTCCTATACCCACACGCACAGCTGCCGACTCAGGCGCCTGTAAGAACTGGCCAAGGGTACTGATGGTCTTGAACTTCTCCCAGGCGAGGCCGCGACGTTTCAATATCGGAATGAGGTTCGTGAGCAACCCAACGGTGGGCAACGCAACAGCTACTATCCAGAAAAATGACGCGGTGCTGACATAGCGTGCCACGTTGCTTCCTGCAGCACAGCTAAAGCCCAGAGCGTCAAGGTTAAAGGTGAAGACTGAAGCGAAATCCAGGAGGTCTCGCAACCCGGCTGGCCATTCAACAGAAACTGTGTTCAAGACACCCAGATTCTGGAATAAAGCCACCAACATTCCCAAGGCCGCGGTGGTGCACATCATCACACTGGCTTTCGCCGTATAGCTACTGGTCAGCATATAGTATGAACCACAAACTCCGATCACCAAAACTGCCACCGAGAGCGCCCAGGCAGCAGGCACAGCACCGCAAGGCGCGCATTTCTCGGAAGTCCAATAGTACCTAATAACCAACATGGGAAACGGGCTCGTTCAGAAGCTGAAGGGAAAAACGTGAAACAGCATGCCCCAGTGAAGAAGGGGCTTCGCCCAATGAAAACAAAAAAACGCGATGGCCTCCAACCTAATAGCAATAATGCCTCCAACCTAATATAGTGATGGCCTCAGAGAATTGCGAAACAGCTCGGTAGTTATCACTAATAAGCTCCTCGGCGCCTTGGGGTCTACAGTGGAGTCCAAGAATGAAGTGCTCTCCAGGGATGTACAGACTGTAGGTAAAGCCTACGGCTGATAACCAGTGGTTGACCAGAGAATTGCGAAACAGCACGCGCCGACGCCCCCGCGCTCTGGCACCCCTTTTCCGCAATCTTGAGCCAAATGCATGTGCAAATCTGTGTCGACCCTGAACCTTTGGTTCATTGGTGTTTCCCTAGCACTTAAGGGTTCTGCATGCGGCTCTGTGAAACTATTTTGGACAAGCTTAGGGTCATCACTTGTAAGCACACTTCTGATTCCCCTTCCTCCTACGGCATTTTTTGGGATCTGCAGAGTCTGCGTCGCTGCTAACGAGATGGCGTTGGATGCCTCAAGAAGTGATTCTGATTCCGAGGAGTTGGAGTCCCAATGGCAGGGAGCAAAGGTTCTTAGTTAAGGATCAGCCCGCTGTTTGTCTGTTGCAATGTACCTATTAGTGGCATTGGGCGATTCGAAGACTTCGTGTAGGGATCCTACTATATGACCGGGAATGACTTGTGTAAAACGAGCTTATAAGTTAAGTTATAGTTTTCGAATGTTTCGATAACTTGATTTGTGTTGCAACTTAACTTGTAGTTCAGTAAAGGGTTAAGCTGGTTAACTATAATGAGTACTTATTGAAGTTACAGTTTTTGTAACTTATACCTTTTCTGTATTTCTAGATTAGTTAAGTAGAAGACCGTTTGTTACCTTTTGAAGATACAAATTAGGTATAAGTTAGTTACAAGCCCTTAGTTGAAGGTACTGTGAGTTAGGGATCACTTGTTTCGGCTGTTGTTTCGAAAGAGTTTGGGCTCAAGAGATCTCAAGAGGAAGAAGGCATCTGCGCCGCAAGCGAAGAAGGGGAAGAAGGGCAAGAGAGAGGGCGGCGGGCGACCCGTCCGAATCACCGTCGGATAGACCGCTGGAGACACGCACCGGAAGAAAAGGGGGGAGTTCGCGAGCCCACCGTCGTTCCGAATCTCGACGAGTAACGAAACCATAAATTAATGCGTGTAGATTCTAAGACTACAAAAATGCACTTTTTCATAAAGACCAATGTCGGTCAATGTCGGACCCCTTTTTAGAGACATATATGCCATGTCGGACCCATGTCGGCCCTGCGCATATACGCAAGGCCAACATTTCGAGTAGATAAAAAGAAGGTGTTGGTCAATGTCGGGCCTTCCGTGGGAAACTCTAAACAATGTCGCTGCAGCTTGGTCTGGTTCAGGCGGCTCGGTCTGGCAGATGGCTGCCAGGAACACCTGGCACGTGAACGATTGCTCGCTGCTGGGGGTGCATCCACTAAGAGAGCCCAACTAATTCATGTAAAAACTTTTTAGAAACTCTAATTAAAGGTTAAATCTGTAATTAGATGCTTTTACACATTAATTAGATTTTTTAAGCAGGCAATGTTCTTTAACTAAAGGGTTTTGATTGTCAAAATGAAAATCCCTTAGTTAGACGGTTTTCATGGCACATGTTGCTTTGAACAAGTGTATGTTAAAAGATATGTTCAACCTATGCATGTATGTCAAGATGGTTGGCCTCCTGTCCAACCTAGGATGTGCCTCCTGTCTTGACAAGGGTTTTGCCGGTTTTGCATTGAAATGATTTTCCTATGTGTGAAGGAGAAGCCTTCTCTGAAAGGCGACCCCTCCCGCTGTCCCTTTCCCACCCAGGCTGCTGCAGCATAACTCTTTCAAAGTGAAGGGAGATGGGTGAAGAGCCGCAAACTTATCGAAAATGGCTTGCACCACTGCCAATGAGGTTACCTCATCGCCTGCTTCTCAGTTTTGACATGTCCCCCCCCCAGTCTTCATCTCTGCAAATCACTGCTCGGGGCACTTCGGATTCCAAGTTCACTGATGCCGCCTTTGCCTTTGGCGCTGTCGTTGAGGACGAGGCTACCTCTGATGTCCTTTCATCTAAGTCCACCTCCAGCCTTTTCTCAAGCGCTACCGCTCTCTGTGGAATCAACCTTTGGATGTCGATGCAAGCTTGGCGCTTCGCCTTTGGTACCGAGACGGACGACGTCGAAACTCCGGATGAAGATTCTACTGCCGCTTAAGGTACCGGGACTGCCTTCGATCCTAACACCAAGCTGGTTGCAGCCGCTCTTGGCGGGGACGATGGCCTTGCCTTCTGATCGAGTCGGTGGTTCGAGATCTTCGGGATTCGCAGCGCTCTTCTTCTGAGCTCGAAGCCACTTCCCAATCAAGACCGCCTTGCAATACCCATCCACCCAGTCTGAAGCGCAACGCCAGTGCGGTATACGAATGGGCGCGAATTGCAATAGTGACCCTGAGACAGGCCCTCCGAGAGGTGCCTTAGCTTCTGTCTGTATCCCATTTTCCACCACGAAGGGCAGAAACACAACTCCAGAAGGTAGTTATCACTAATAAGCTCCTCGGCGCCTCGGGGTCTACAGTGGAGTCCAAGAATGAAGCGCTCTCCAGGGATGTACAGACTGTAGGTAAAGCCTACGGCTGATAACCAGTGGTTGACCAGAGAATTGCGAAATCGCACGCGCCGACGACCCCGCGCTCTGGCACGCCTTTTCCGCAATCTTGAGCCAAATGCATGTGCAAATCTGTGTAGGCCCTGAACCATTGGCTCATTGGTGATTCCCTAGCACTTAAGGGTTCAGTCCTGCATGTGAAACTATTTAGGACAAGCTTAGTGTCATCACTTGCAGGCACCCTTCTACTGGCCTCCAACCTAATAGGAATGGCCTCTTTTCGCGTTAGCCCGAGATACCCCTCTTTGCAATCTCCACATGTGAGCCCTTCGCGGTCTCCGAAGCAGGTGCCCGGAGAACCACCGGGGCAAAAGAGCTCCCCCGAACACTTGTAGGTGTCCAAAGGGACCAGTGGATTGCCTTGGGTGATGCTCCAGGGCGGTGAAAAAAGAAAACAAACAACATCACGTGCTGTTCCAATGAAGAATGTCGAAGCATATATACAGAGTCATAGGACAACCAAACCGGTGGCAAAGAGGATGCAGCAAAAGGAGGTATCCATGTATTCCACTCTGAGTGTAGGGAAAAGAAGTTACCCAATTCATGATAGAGAGCTTCTACGTTTTACATCTATTCATTCTGTATTTTATTGTGAAAACCTTGTTTAAGCATATCCAGCTTGCTGAAGTAGCCTTTCTTTACAAAGGGATTCTTCAAGTCCGTAGTTCCGTCAGCTGCCTCAAGCTTTGGGACTGTGCTACCTTTCGGGCAATGCATGCTGTCCTCATGGCAAGCCACACAAGTGGATTGATCTTCAATGTTTCCTGCATCACACACACAGTCGGTCAACGATGATGCACCCAATAAGAGTGTTGTTCGGGAAGCACCACATGAGATGCATGAGGTCTGTGCCGTCTCTGGTTGGTAAAAGCCTTCACTACAGGGTGTGCATTGTGTGCTGCCAAATGAGCTTGCTGATGTGCCCTTTGGACATGGCTCACATTGGGTGGAGTAAGTGTTGGCCTGGCTGTATCCTGGAGCACAGGGCTTGCATTGGAAAGTTCTTCCCTGATCATCAATGAGCTCCTCAGATGCAGATCCTGCTTGGCACAGCCCACATCCCACAGCTTCTGCTCTGGTGGTGACAAAAGACCCCGAAGCATCAATCAACCCAAAGCCTTCATAGCAGCTGGTCTCGACTGGCTTCCACTTTGTCCACCTTGTTCGCAAGTCTCATCTTGGCCCACAAAAGAAAGGAAACACGATGAAACAAGTGTGAGGTTGTCTATAACATGTTCTCTGTATTTCCCTGTTGCCTTTGGATGGTATCGTTTTGTTGTTCCTTTACGGTCTTACAGTGCCGCATGACTCACTGCCGCATCTTTCGGATATACCGTATACATGCGCTGTGTGGGCACGCTCGCGCTGTGGAACAGTTCATTCGGTCCACGAACGCACAGCTCTACGGCGCCATACTGTTGCACAGCTAAACTCACATTGACATGGACCCGGAGGCCCTATGGCACCCTCAAAGACTGTAACTTCCTCCAGAAAGCAGTGGTTTTCAGGGTCTACGTGAGTTTTCAATGGGGTAGTACTTAGTACATCTGTGGGCCATTCTGTACAAGTGTACCGGAAGATAATTTAGGCTCGCTGTGTTGTCGTCTGTTTTTGGTATCGCTGTGTTATCGTTGTCGTACCTGGTATGAACGTCGATTTAAACACACACAACACAACACGACACTACTCGTTAGTCTTTGCGGAGGGACAAACAAGAAGTGAACACTATATATATATATGAACCCCCTCTCTTCTTGCCCCACCCGTCTCGATTCTCCTTCATCCACTTGCATGAAACGTTGTAGGTGGAGCCCAACTGATCAAGTTCCAAAAGAAGACGTTGTACTTCTGGAAGCTCAAAGTTCATGTTGGAGACAAACCTGAAGTGGAAGTTCGGTCGTTTTGAAGCCAAACTCAGAGTTGCGTCAGGCAGAGTGGAGATATTCGATGGGAAGGGCCTTCACAGAGTTTGATGGACACGGCTATCCACGTCCTAACAGTGAGTGAGGATGAAGTAGGATGATGCTCAATTGAAGTTTGAAGGCCTGTTAACAAAGATCAAGGATGACAACTCCAAAGGGTAATGTGGCCCTCAGATTTATAAACCCCCCTAGAATAATGTATTTTTTGTTCCCTGCACTGATTTATGAAGGCCCCTAGAATAATGTATTTTTTTTGGGAGGGGTATTTGTAGTGGAATATTGTTTATTGTTATAGTTTACTTTTTCCCTTTTGATTTGCTTTACTCACCCTCTATTCCTTATTTACTTGTCCTAAGCTCTTTAGTTTTGAAGCTTTCCAAAAGTTTCCAAAAGTCAGCGGGCACTTTCTTTATAAAATCCCTTATTCAAAAGTATTGAAAAACAAAA